GGAATTAATACCAAAGACATTTGTTTCCTGAGTCTAATTCCTTTTCATCGCTGGAGGCTGCCTTGTAAACTAAACGAAATGCATAGGTTCCTGCTTCATCAAATTCTGGCATGTGGAGCTTTTCTGGAAATAACACCTTTATTATCTTCATTTTACCTGTCTTTTATTTTGTTTCTTTTCCTTGTGTCTATTTGTTATCTCCCCAGTAATTGATAAAGCTGTCCATGCTGTATAAGCTGAATCAAGAAATAGACTTTGGTAGATTATACTAATGCATTGTTTTATAAGAGATAGAAGTAAACATTTGCTGCCCCACCCTCAATAGATTTTTCTTTCCGGAAAATTCATCCCCAGAAAAACATTTCTTTTCTGTGGCTTAATTTTCTTAAGTGTACCATTGACATTCTCAATAATTACCATATTCTAGTTCGCTTGTTTGGTTACCTTTTGTCCTCTGAGAAAGAACAATACAGCCTGTCTTCTCTCAGTGTTTTCCAAAAGCAATTTTGTACCTTCAGAAGAGACTTCCAAATATCTGCTTGAACACAAAGAACTCTATTTTTCCATTCAATGTGAAAGAATGGTACAAATAACCACACCACTAGATTGTGAAGAGTAAATAGCACCCATAAAATATCAAACACATGTTTTAAAATTACATCAATCATTTAAAATCTATTGTCACCCTTCAAAAATTTGAATTGAAAAACTTAAGCATTAACATTATAAAATATTAATAAAATATCCAGTATAAATAATTTCCCACCTTATAAAATTTAATTTTGAAGTCCACATATTTCCAGAAAACTTTACATTTTTCTAAAAGTTTTCATTATGGGCAAATTTATTCTTTTAAAATTAAACTTGAAAATGGAAGATTCAACAGAACCTCATCTCATTTGTTAACTTGTAATGCCCTTCCAAGAAACAAATGAATTGGGCCTTAAAGAGATGTTTAGCCAGACATAATTTTATACATTTCTAATCCTCCTTCCTAGGTCAACAACATATTGATGAGATTATTATACATTATATATTTATATTCCATATTTTCTGTTTCTGTCAATATGTAATACAGTATTTATATTTATAAGACACCAAATAAGATCACAATATTTTTTTCTATTTAACTGTTCAATGAGCCTTCCTAGGTTTTATTTGTGTTAGTAGAAAGCTTATGTTTGAATTATACAGCAAATACTAGACTGAATAATGATTGTGTTTGATTTTTAATCACAGAGAGTCATTTATAACTATTCAAGGTTGTTGAATTTTTCTTATTATTTTATTTGTAACTGTTCAAAAGTTTATTTTAAAAAAGCATTTTTATCTATCTATGTGTGTGCTGAAAGCCCAATAGAATTCGCTGACTAAACTTCACTTGTTATTCTTTGGAAAGTGTAAAGGAGGTAGGATGGAACTGACTTGTACAAATAAGAGATATCCAAAAAGAGTGTCTGTTCAGAGGGAAAGCTGTGCAAAACCTGTGGTACATACTCTTCCAGGTTATCAGACTCCAATCCTGTTCACCGCCTTTGAGCTGTGTTGCAATTTTTGTAAATTGTACATTCTGTCCCCTTCAGAGGTGATTTAATTGATTTCCTCCACCCTGTGGAAAAGCTAGTTTTGTTTCCACTTGCAGCTCATATTGACAAGTCTTTATTCCATATTAATTTGTGCTGTTTTGACTTTTACTTTGAATCCATTGTAGCCCCTGCCTCACCATGACTAAAATACGTTCTTTAACATATGTTCACTTTCATATCTATCAGTCATGATTTTACCATTTTGCTTCTGTCAACGTGTTGTTTAACCCTTTAAAGAATCCTGCATTAGACACTGACCTCCACCTGCCCCAATCACTGGATGCAGGCTATACTGAGGAAGGTGTCCGCTGAGGGGCTCTCTGACACTGGGGCAGACCCTGCATGGATCCTTCTTCCTCTTCCACACACAAAGACTTGACCAAAAGGCACTGGCATAACCATGTGTATCTTCTGATCTGCACTTCCAGGGTATTTCACATGGTTGGGTGAGCCTACACAGAAGAAGCTGGAAGTTCTTTCTACACAGAACTATTTGGAAAGGACTGTGAAGCACATAAATATAGTTTACTAGGTCCAGACTTAACATATCTCCTTAGCCAGATCCCAGAAATTGAGTGAAAAGAGTTGTGATTTATCCAGTTGCAGTTTTCCAAATATCTTATATTTGCCAATATCACAAAAATATATAAGCACATGAATGTATGAGAGGGTCCTCCCTATGGCTTGGAAAGGGCTCATCTTGAAACTTGAGCATCATTCTCTTCACAGTCAATCTTTTTTTTCTCTCTCTTTTTTTTAAAGGTTGGGTTTTTTTAGCAATTTTATTTATTTATTTTTAGAGAGAGGGGAAGAGAGGGAGAAAGAAACATCAATGTATGGTTGCCTCTCACGCACCCCCTACTGGGGACCTGGCCCACAACCCAGGCATGTGTCAATCTGTTTGTAAGTATACGTACAAATGTAGTGTCATAAGGGAGCACAGAAGGTAGAGTGATTCATCCTGCCTGAAGGAACAAGAGAAAAACTTTACCAAGGAGATATTTGATCTTGCAGGCAAAAAGGGGGAAGCAGGTAAAGAGAAAACATTGGTCCTAAAAAGCAACAAGAAACACTTATAATAGGTAGATTTAATAGCTTTAAATACAGAGTCCAGGAGAAGTAACAGCTGCTTGAATGTGGTTTGTAGGGTAATAATATGGGTGTAATATTTAGAGTTTTTAATTTGAACATTTCACCTAAAATGTCATATGGTGTGATTCAGTGTGATATTGTTATGTTACAGAATTACATGCTTATGATTTTGTAATAAAAGATTTTGTAATAAAAAGGGTCATTATTTGTGCTATACCCTATATTCTGAATTTGAATGTTTATCTCAACTTTAGCTGTTTTCTGAAAAAAAAAAAAACACAAAAAACTACACTTAGCAAGTATGATTATAAATATTCTGAGAATAGACACTTTTGTTAGATTATTACTGCCTCTGTGAAATTTGCCTGAAGAATACTTGTCTTCTTTTACAGTAAGGATGAGCCTAAGTATTTAGGCTAGAGTTTTTAAAGGAAGATACAAGTTATCAATGTCATTTATAATATAGATCAAAGAAATTAGTGTATCTTTAACTTCCTGCCCAGACTCATTGCCTTACTATTCTTGTGACTTTACTTCCTATCCTCCATCTATTTCCTTCCTTTTCAATATTCCATTTGTTAATGGACTGGATGCTTGTGTCCTCCCCAAAATTCATACAAATGTGGAAATTGTATCCCCAATGTGACTGTGCTTAGAGGTGGGGCCTTGGGAGGTAATCAGGTCACAACAGTGGCACTCTCAGGAATGGAATTAGTGCCCTTGCAAGAAGAGGCCCCAGAAATAGCTCTGGAACTTTTCACCATGTGAAGTCACAGTGAGAAGTCAGCAGTTTGCAACCAAAAAGAGGTCTCTCACCAGAACCTGACTATGCTGGCACTCTGATCTTGGACTTCCAGCCTCTAGAACTGTGAGAAATCAATTTCTGCTGTTTATAAGCCACTTACTCTGCGGTACTTGTTACAGCAGCCCAAACTGACTAAGACATCTTTAAGTAAGAATTCCCCTTCTCTTCCTTCCCAACCCTTCCTAATATGCCCTCCAGAGAACCTCCTCCAAAAAAGAAACTTCTTTGTATCGTTCTGCCATCGTATTACCCTGAGATTCAATTCTTTTTTTCTGTTGAGGGAGGTCACTGCTTAAGCTACTAAATTTAGGATAGCTCTACAGTTTACTGTCCTAACTAGAACACTTCAGAAAGGGGGAAAAAGTGGGGTTGGGGGGGTTGGGGCTTTGTTTATTACACCAGCATAATGGACATAAACTTTAACTGTCTGGGCAATAAAGAATGTATGCCACTCTACTTTGACCTCAAATAACATGGGACTAGAGCTCTATAAGAACAAATTGTAGCTCTTAAATTTCCATTGTCACTTCCAAAATATTTTTTCACTATTCATTAACAATTTATCATCCAGGGAATGGCATTGCCAGTCTAGAACTGAAGTCGACAACTACAATTATCAGGTGAAATCCAGCCCACTGACTGATCCTGTAAATAAATTTGTATCAGAACACAGCCAAGTTCTTCATTTATATACTGTTTGGCTGATTTCAGCTACAATAACAAAGTTGAGTACTTGCAACAGACACAGAGTGGCTTGCATATTGTAAAATATTTACTATCTAACTATTATGGAAAAATTTTGCTGATCCCTTTACTTCATGAGCTTCATGGGGGATGGGGATGCTCTGCTTATACATCTCATCCACCATGAATATTTAAACAATAGATCAAGCACATAGTAGGTGCTTAATATTTGGTTTATAGATAAATATGGGCATGAAGAATAAAACAAACCACAGTAATGAGTAGAGTGTGATATTGTACATGAAAAGACACATTATAGATCAATGAAATGATTTCTGTTTCCAGAATAGAAAATGCAGAATCTCTGTAAGATTTGTCAGTATTTAATATATAGAAATAGAGTTTATACAAAACGAAAGAGATGTATTATTAAATAGATGTATTATTAAAATTGAAAAAAACTTTTGAAAAAATTGTATATTTACATTAAACTTTTTATGTGCTTTTATGTGCAAAAGAACTTTTTTTCTAGTTAGATAGGAACCCCAATCTGACAACTGTCGGCCACTGAAAGAGGGCCCTTCCCTCAACTGCAGAAGTGACCCTCTTTCCACACACTGAGAGGTTTCACTCCATCTATTTTTATTCTTCCCTCTAGGACTTTTCTGACTTTTTCTCAAGAGGAAGTTGTTAAGTAGGCATGAAGTTTTGAATCCTGGCTTGCTTTCTAGCTAGTTAATTTAGGCAAGTGTCTTAAACTTTCTGTACTTTCCTTAGCTTCTCTTAGAAATAAGAAAAGTGCGGCATCTGGAAGCTGGTGAGGCAGCACTACGATGTTTCTTCCTATGAAGGGCCTCGTGTGGAAGCTGGACCCCGAGGAGGAGAAAGGAAAGATGCGCGAGGATGTGATTTCCTCCATACGGAACTTCCTCATCTATGTGGCCCTGCTGCGAGTCACTCCTTTTATCTTAAAGAAATTGGACAGCATATAAAGATTGGACATCACATGTGAATGCATGACACGAACAACCTGGTTACAGTTTCTACTCTGCAAAATAATCTGCAAATGAATAGGCCCAGAAAGATGTAAAAAACCCTTTCATTGAATGGACATAAAACTTCTGCCTGTTAAGAACAAGTTTGGTTGTGGTAACGGACCTTCATAGCCAAAATAGAAAACTATTTGGGAAGTATGAAAAAACATTTCTTATGCTTGTGATATTCAGCCTCCATGGATGTGGCTGTAATTGTAAATAATGTCAAATTCCATTTTCTAGCAAGTATTATGTAAGAGAATTACGTCTGCAGTAAGTAGCCCTGTCTTGTCAGTCATTTCTGTTGGCCTTTTTACTTCTGTCTGGAATGTATTCGTTGAAGAACTCATTATAATTAGTTATGTTTTATGGAAGCCAGCACACAAGTGCAACAACATTTAAGCACAGGAACCATTAGTCTATATTTTAAATAAATGTACCAGTCAAGGAAAAGATAAAAATAAGAATAGTCATCTCCTAGATGCTTCATAAGTTTGTGTGCTAGTTCAAAGTGCTAGCACATTGCCTGATTAGTAGTAAGTCCTTGATAAAAGTTAACTGTAAGTAATATTTAAGTTCCCTATCCAAATATTAATGTATGAAATGTCCCATGTTTCTATATTTACCTCCATATGACTTTCCCCTTATAATCAAGCTTTTTTTCCCCCAGAGATAATTACTGCTAATTTGGGAGTCTTCATTTTCTTTCTATGCATTTAAAAGGGGATAAGTCTCTACATGCTGCTTTGTAACCTTTTTACATTGGTTAATATTTTATGAACATTTGAATGCCTAAATATTTTTGAACACTCTACATAATATATAATATAAAGAACACTTTAATGGCTGCATATTGTTTCATCTCATGGATACACCATAAATTATTTAATCAAATTGTTAAACGTTAATGGTTGTTGTTGTTGTTAAGGTTGGTATAATGAATCACCTGTGACTCAAATTTTAACAATTATCAACTCATCATCAGTCTTACTTCATCTGTAAGATGAAGTAAGCTCACCCATTCTTCAGTCAACCTTGAAAATATAGGCATCTTTTTAACATAACCACAATACCATTATCACACCTCAAAAAAATTTAAAATAATTATTTCTGATCATCAAATGTCAAATATCTAATCAGCACTTAAAAGTCTTATATCTTCTCCCTCTCTTTCCCTTTTTCTCTTTCTTTCCCTTTTTCCCTCTCTTTTCCTCCGAATTGTTCAACTTAATATCCATATAAGATCCATACACAGCAAATGGTCAAAAAGTCTTCCATCAGTAGATTCTTTTTCATCTGTTTTTTATATCCTTGCAATTTATTTGCTGGAAAAATAAAATGAATAGATAAGTCAATGAATCTTTAGAATTTCTCATGTTCTGCATTTTGCTGATTGCATTATCAGGGGTGCCATTTAACATGTTCTTCCATCAACTGTATTTCCTAGAAATAGGTTTCTGGAGCTAGAATTTTGCTCAGATTCAGGTTTCATGTTTCGGCAATAGTATTTCATAGGTGGTACGGTTGTGCTGCCCTCAGGTAATACAACATAAAATCAGGATTGTCTGATTTTTCTGATGTTAGCAGCCATTGGTGATCAATGTCTAGATCCATTAATGTATTAGCACTATAAAATCAGCATTGATTTATCAGCATTAATAATAACATTCTTAGCATGTAAAAGTCATATTCTAGTTATAATAGTTTTGCTAATATAAATAGCATACGATAGCTAAAATTTCATAGCTAGATATTTGTTAACAATTACGTGTATGTGTTTATATATTTTTTAATTCATAAAAATTAAATATCTGGATCAATGTAAATTTACATTTGGAAATTTATGTTACCATACATATTGCCCAACTTCCCTTCAGGAAAGTTATACAAACTTGCATGCCAATGTTGTGTTATTTTTTTCACCAACAATGAGAAACTTACAGACTACTTGCAATATTTTTCTTACTAATAAGATTAAGCATGGTTTCCTTACACTTCAATTTGTATTTCTTCTTTTATGAATTGTCTCCTGCTCTTTTACCATTTTTCTGTTGAGTATCTCTTTTTTCCTGTTTTTTGGAACATATTTAGTTAAATATTATGGAAATGTCATCTCTGAATTGTGGTCCCACTATGACATACAAAGACACCACATACCTACTGTATTTTTCAGACTATAAGACATACTTTCCTCCCACATCTCAAATTTGGGAGGAATCATGGTTGTTAATGCTGCCATTGAGTCCTGTTCACATTTACATTGGTGAAATATTGTGATGTTTATGTTATTAAATATTTTACCACCATTTTTGCTTCAAATTTTTTCCCTGTTTTCCTCCTCTGAAACCCAGGTGCATTTTCTGGTCCAAAAATGTGGCATATATCATCCAATTGTTCTTTGAGCTGTGCTTATTCTTTCTGAAAGAGTAGTACTACTAAATTCCAATACTCTTTTTTGCCTCCACCATTCCAATGAGCTGCTTCTCACCAGGGTCTCTATGACCCAATTTCCAATGCCAAGGAAAGTGTATCAATTCTAACAATTTTTGAACATAGTGCTTCCTTTTTCCCCTGTCAACTACTAAATCCTCCAGAAACTCTATGATCTATTACTAATTGTGAAAATCATTCATTTTGTCCTTCTGCCTCTTTAATTAGTCTTGGTCTCCTTAATGGGTTATTTTGCCTCTGTCAGCAATTGTTATTCTCCAAATTTCTGTCTAGATCTTTTTCTCTTATCATTTCACTCCCTAATGAAACCTAAAATGAATGACTCTTACTGTAGATCTATATCTAGAGTATGTATCTTTTGATACTTGGAGCGGCACGTACCAATGCCTTTTGTATATATCTAATGAGATAAATCACAGATACCTCAAAATTGTTGTATGCAAAACTGCATACATCATCTCTTACCTCCACCCAGTATTGCATACTTTAATTAATGGTCTTATCATTTATCTCACTGGTCAAACCAGAAATCTTATAGTCCTGCTGTTATTCTTATAATATTGGAGGAATTATGATATGGGAAAAGCATGTGTTTTGAATCCAAACCAATCAAGCATTAACTCTAGCTCTTCTACTATTTAATTGGTTGTTTTGGGCATATAAAAAAGTATTTTTTGATCTCCAAGTCTCTCTTCTGTCAAAATGGGGTAGCACTAAGTTCTCAGATTTGTGAAAGTAAATCTTAATGTATATAAAAGTATCTACTATGAAATATACAGTAGACTTTCAAAACATCCTAATTTGCCCTGCCTCTCTCTTCATTGACCACACATCCAATTCACCAAGACCTTAACCTCCTTCCTATATGTTTTCAAATCCATTCCTTCCTTTTCATCTCTATTACTACTGCCTTGGATCAGTCCTCCTTCATTACTGCTTGCTTGAACTGGCAGTTTCTTCAACTAGCCTTCCAATCACCAGTCATTCTCCAATTCATTTTTATGACTAGAATGTGCTTTTGAAAATTTACACCTGACTATATCATGCCATTGCTTTAAAATTATCAATAGTTTCTGTACCTTCAGAAAAACAAATCAAAACCTTCTTACTAATACAATTTAAGCCATTATGTTTAGTCTCTATTTCTTTCATTTTACCTCTTGCCATAGCTCTCTCCTAATCCATGTACCCCCCTCAGCTTTTCCTATTTTTCCCCATACCCCCAAATGCAATTCTCCAATTCTAACTAAAACTACTTATCCTACAATGAAGTATTCTAACAGGGTAAGACAAAACTGTCTCCAGAAGATACTAATTATCTGAGAGATGGAAGCTTTTCTAACTATCTGTGCCCCTCTCCATTTGGATATCCTGAATCATTGCCTATAGGATGACACAACCATTCTACACACATTTTCCTGAGAAGCATTGTAATAGAAAGCTAATGCAATAGGAAGAGAACATGATGCATCCTTCAAATGAGTTGGAGCAGAAAATAGTGTGATAACCATTGTTATAGATTTACCTAAAGCATCTCATACTGAGTTACCTCTCTTATTTCTCTGCCCTCATTGACTCTTGTACATTTCTCCATTGTGTCATAGGGGAAATTATATTGTCTTTTAAAGTAAAATGTCTCTAATTAGACTGAGAATTCTTTGAGTATATCCCAGCTTGTGGTCCGGTGACTAGTATATGATGGGTACTAATACCAATTTCAAAAGTGAAAATTGAATTCATATTTATTAAAGGTTCATTCAAAACTCATTGACATTGCAAAAAATCCTATTGTAATAAATTCTATAAGATACTCCAAATTTTCACTCCATCATAGTTTCATTGTAGTACACTGTCCTATAGCCACAATGAAGATCTCCAAGGAATGTGAACAAAAGAAAGCTGCTGCTCAACTTTCTAGACTTTTGCATATGAAAACAGTAACTGCATGAAACAGAGAAAAGGGAAAGGTTATTAATTCATAAAATAAACAAGTTCCTGGTTGTCCTGTGAGGGTTGTGTTCTTTGCATGGGCATGTGCAAAGGACAAATCAAGAACGAGCCTGTGTGCTTGAAGGAAGACCCCTCCTCTGTAGTTTCCAATTGACAGTGGTCAAAGGATGGTGGATGCCCTGTGCCCAAAGCAGGACTGCTTCAGTGCCAAACTGGAGGCCTTCTTCTATACAAGTCAGAAGGGATATGTTGTACTTGGAGTAAGACTCTAATCTGCAGAAATCCATGCTGTCATGGCAAAGGAAAAGTGGGAGCCCAGAACTGGTCATATTACTCATAAGATCTCCCTCCTATCCATTCCTTCTACTCACAGTCTGGCCACCATTCCCAGCCTTGGAAATATTAAGACTAAACTCATTAATCCTCTTATATCTGTTGATTTCAACCATCTGCAGAAACCCCAAAACCCTAGATTATAGGGGTTATAAACTGTATAAAGGCCTAGTGCCTTTTCTGAGTCCATATCCCACTCTTCCCATCTCTCCTCATTGTGCCCATTGAAATGCATGGTAGGTTATTAACAAT